CATGAGTCATTATCTTCTAATGTAGGTCACCTGCACTCATTTCCTTTACAATATTTACACAATACTATACAAAAAAACATATTTATTTTTCAAGAGTATAGGATATCAAACTGGTGTTATTGATTGTCGTAAAGATGGCATTTTGTAAAATTTTCTAATTTATTTCACACTTTTTACACATTTTTAAAAATATAGAACAAATAATAAATAACATCCTATATGTTTGAAATCACGTATGAAGTGAAGATAATAGTAGTCTTCATGTAAAATAAGCATACCTACACCATAAAATACCACAGAATAATATAAACATTTGACAAAAGTAGAGTACAAATTTTTTTTTTTTTTTTTTACATTGTTTCTTCAAAATTTGACTTAAACTCCAAATAGATTAAAGCTAAAATAAATTGATTAAAAGGTAGACCCCATTTTTAGAAATAAAAGAAGGATGAGGAGAAGAGGGGAGAGGAGGAGAAGGAGGAGGAATATAATTATAAGTCCATTGATGTGGTTCCAAATGCCGATGCCCAAGATATTTTTTTTTAAATCACGTGATCAATGTAATATTGTTCAGAGCTGTGCATTCTTTATCGTTGAAACTTGAACAGTTGCAAAGTTTCATTAACACATGGGTATTTTTAAATGACCGAACAAATCTGCCAGACAAAGATAAGCTCAAAGTAGCATGGAATGGTTTGGGAAAACCGCTAAATTCATGAACACTAAAAAGTTACTGGATGTCATGCCAAATTCGTGGGTAGCATTAAGAATAATGTTTACAATTCCTGTTACTTACTGTAGCCACTGAAGATCATCCATGTCTCAAAGCCGAGAGAATTCTTTGGTAATTTAATTTATTGAAAAATGGTACTTGTTCATTGTTTGTTGTTTTTTTTTTAACAACCTGGTAATAACTAATTACCTAACTGCTAGTTTTGTCCTTGCAAAAATTTTCATGATAATCCTTGAAAGGGGCGCCAAATTAAAACTTGCCTGGGGCGCTATCAGCCGTAGGGCGGGTCCTGCATAAAGCAGACCGGCTTCTAGTCAATTAAATTGGAGAATTTTATCTCGCACAATGTTATTTTAAGATAGCACATTGTGTAAAAAAATAGGTACAAAAAATCTGAAAAAAAGAAGAAAATAAGGAAAAGTTACTTTAAATGGACTTTTTTCTTCTTTTTTTTGGGGGGGGGGGAAAGCCTTTTGCAGACTGTAAGGCCCTTGGTGTAGCTTATTTAGCTTATAAAGAGGCGTAGCAAAGGGGGCAAGGGGGGCAGACGTCTCCGGGCGCCAGCTAGTTAGGGGCGACAAAATGTGCTTTGAAATTATTTATTGATGAAAATAATAGGTTTGAGAGTTTAAAAAAGAAAACAGGGCGCTTTAAAATGAATCCTGTCTCCGGGCGCCAAACACTCTAGCTACGCCTCTGAGCTTATATGTAAATCCGGCACTGCATCGATCATTGATGATGATGATGATTTTGAATATGGCAATGACATAGCTAAAGTGAAGAGCTAAAGTGAAGAGCTAAAGTGAAGAGCTAAAGTGAAGAGCTAAAGTGAAGAGCTAAAGTGAAGAGCTAAAGTGAAGAGCTAAAGTGAAGAGCTAAAGTGAAGAGCTAAAGTGAAGAGCTGAGACGCCGATTAAAAGTTATTACCAGTGTGCAGGATTTCTTTCAGCTATATCTCGGGGGGGGGCACTGCCTCCCCGGGGAAAGCCAAGTGCCCCCCCCCCAAATATTTCCAACAATAAATCAACTGGCACTGCTGGCACTGCCCCCCCCTGAAAAATCTGAAGTGCCCCCCCCCAAAAAAAAAAAATTTAAGTGCCCCCCCCCCGGGGGGGGGGGAATTTATGAAAGAAACACTGCCAGTGTGTAAACTATATATTATAGGCATGTGGGACGCAGCGTCATGTCACGGGGAGGGGAGAGGAGGGATTGCAGGCGGCGTATGTGAATTGACACCAAGAGCAGCCATCAACCCGACAGCCAAGAGGAGGAAGAGAGAGAAAGACAGGTGTGAGCACAAAAGCCTGACTGTGATGGGCAGGTTATGGACTTCCATCCTTTCACTAGCAAAGTATTTACAGTGTGTTTATCGCAACAACAAAAATAGAGGCCAGTCGGGGCGGGGTGCAAGTTGGTATATCGACTCAGTACGACCTGTATAAATGTATTAGTATTACAACTGTTAGTATATTATCATACTAATTATAGTAATAGTATAGTGTGCGTATTTTCAAATCAGTGACTTTACAGTTTCCAGTAAACGTATTAGTATTAATAGACAATTTGTAGTGGGTACGAAATCTTCTAAACAATGTTTCAGTCTGTGCGCAAGAATAGATTTGGAAACCATGCCATGGTCCAAGAATACATAATTTCGTGCAAACATTTAGACATTTACATTTAATTATTATTAGAGTTATTACCGAATGATAGTTTTTACTTACTAAGTGATACTGATTCAGGCTACAACACCTACATGCTGTTCACGATCACATCCTGTAATGACTGTAGGCTAACTGCAGGTAGTGATCACTGAGGAGACTGATACTGATATGAATATGGATGTGGCCAAATATCAATGCTGCTGTAGCCGGTTTTGATGATTATATATTTCTTTAAAATAAGCTCTGCTTTGTAGTTTGAGCAACTCGGATTGTGCGGGAGTTAAAAAAATTGTAGATGGATAAATGTATAATTTAACAGATTTATTTGTCTTATAACTTTTAGATTTAAGTCATGGTTTGAACTAAAGCTTAAAGCAACATGATTGCAATTGAACAATATTTATTTCACTATAGTACCGGTATCTTAAATTTTAAATGCAAATGGCAATTCTGGTTGAACTCGAATGGCGTTCTCAACAGCAAAGCCCCCAAACTTGCACTTGAAGCTCCTAAAGAAACGGCAATTCCTGTTCAGTTTGCTGGTTAATGTCACAACGTTGGGACTATTTTATTTTTACTTCATTGGTTGGCATTTTTAATTACCTTATCGTAATGCCAAATGTATAAGCTGCGCTTAAAGGACGAGCCAAAGTTCTTGTTCATTGGCATACGTATTTTGATTTTCATTGTATTGTAATTTTTGCTCTTATGAAACTGGAAATAAACATTTAAAAAATTGAATTCCCTTCTTGGCTGTTGCTGTAAATTGAATGTACCTATGTTTGATTCACATTGCATTACTATGCACCGGTTAATGTGCAATTAGTCACCTTGACAGAGGATTTTTTTGTTTAAAAGACCAGAATGAACCCCTGTTCACAATTAAAAGCCAAAATAATTGTGTGGTTTTTTTTTGTTTTTTTTTTAGTGAAAAAAAATATTTGAATTTTAACAAACTTGACACTGCATTTATTTAATGTATTTAACCCTGACCTGGTAATTGTGATTTTTTAAAATTTTAACGAGCTTCCACAGCTACAGTATGAGCCATCAGGGTCGGTCTGTCATCACCCCATATCAAGGGCTGGCTCAACAGCAACGAGAGCACTCGCTAGGCCTCCACCACTCCTCTCCATTCCTAATGCTAATAATAATTGGAAATTAAGTACAATAGTTAATAGAGTAAAACAAAGCATATGCACTGCCAATGGTGAAAAGGTATGCTCAAGTTTGTGTTGTATGTTTGTCTTTGAGAGGAAACTTCGTTATTCAATCCTAGGAGGCCCAACTAAGCTGCTCTTCCATTTGGCTTTCTACAATAAACCATAAAAAGCATGCATTATTATACTTATATGGACAATAACTATCACCAGGGCTCGAACTCGAGTCCTTCATGAATCGTATCCGGAAATTTGATCGAAAGAAATTTCGTCGACGGTAAATTGATCGACGGTAATTTGATCGAACGGAAATTTTGTCGAAACTTTTTTCAGTTTTTACGTTAAAACTTTTGCTTAATTTTTTTTTGAACACATTGTTTTGTTTAGCAATATAGTATGGTGCGTTGAAAAAGAAATTCGACGAAAATTTTAACGTCTGAACTGAAAAAAAGGTTCGACCAAATTTCCGTTCATGCAGTGCATGTGAAGGGCGATCTTGCACTTTTTTCGGCTTGGAAATTAGCGCATAGAGGGGGTGGGGGAATATTGGGTGAGTTCCCACACGTTTTCTCTTTCCGCCCCGGGTGGCACAAACACTAGCTACAGCACTGCTAATATGTTAAAGATGGAGCTTTTACTTTTAATACAATAGTGAATAGTAGATAGCTACATATTTAATACGATATTGGCGTTATTATTTAAAAGCATGTTAAAATAAAATATTAATCCATTTTTTAAAAAAAATCATCGCAAGCTGAATCACTAATTTAAAAAGATTCACATTTACGTCAGCTCAGATACAAATATGAAGATACCAAGAAAAATGTGTATATATTGATACTGAATTTGCATAAATTCTAAGAAAATGCGTGACTCTACCTACTCAATTCGGGAGCAATTGATGAATTATTATTTAAGTCTACTCGTACTTTGTGGAGTAATCTCGTAGTTAATTACATAATTTATGACTATCATTACTGTGAGGAGATGGAAAGGGAGAGAGAGCAGACAGAAATAAATATTGTTCAGTTATAATGACACAATAGGGAAATCCTATTTTTCTTCTCTATGCTATGCGTTATTGTTAAAAATACCGCACACAAAGTTGTATTTCCCTTTTAACAGTGAAAAAAAGACGTTTAAACATTTTCACCATTTCCTCCACCAAACATTAATTCACCAAGGTTTAACTTATGGTTGAGAGTGCAACCTGAAACACCCGTTCTCGCTTTTTAACTGACATTGGAGCAACGGTATTCCAAGCTATTACAATTATAATCCGTAATATTAAACATGGAGTATCATTAAATGCAACACCGTTTGATGTAAATAGGCGCCATCTATACTAGTCACATGATACTGTATCTATAATTTCATTGGTGGTTCTCGGAACCATCATATTGTATGGTCGGAATCATAACAAGCTTGTCGTTTTCAGCCATCATGGCGAACCCTCGGAAGTTCAGCGAAAAAATAGCCTTACATACTCAAAAGCAGGCTGAAGAAACTGCTGCTTTTGAAGCCATATTACAAGAAGTTAATTCTGCAACCAGGGTAAATGGTTCACTGATTTATTCAGATGATTCGGTCCTTCTTGATTAAGTCCCACATTACACTGTTTTGATACCACGAAAAAATTGACGGGAGGGTACCTATGCCTATATTAATTTAATCTAAATAAAAATAATTAATTGGCAAAGATGAAAAGTTGTAAGCCAAAATAGAAAAATCCATCAGATGCTATTTCCGGCCTATCCACATATACCTAGAATTGTACTAGATTTGGTTCATTTTGATTCTTTCCACCTAAACCAGTTTCAGTTAACATTTTTTTAGTAATTTAAAATTTGTATAGTATAAATAAGTATAGTATAGTATTTCAAATTCAAAGTATTAATTTGGTATCCGTTACAAATTTTAAGACTAGTCTTTGTGTAGTCATGAAATATTAGCATAGTATTATGCGTGACCAAACGTCCCGTAAAAACGGAATTGTCCCGTTTTTTCATGATCATACCCGGTGTCCCGAAAAAGTCTCTTGGGACGCCTAAATGTGCCGTTTCTAAAACCAAGACCAAACACATTAAAATCACTAAAACTTCCTAATTTATAATATAACTTTATTATATAAATAAAGTAATATTTTGGCTAGCTGTGTAGCCGGTGCCACTAGTGTTGTGGGCTCGCGTGATGGCTGCACTGTTCCCCCTCCACCACTCTGCCGACAAGATGAGAAGTGGAGACCCTCTCTGCAAGCAATCCTGCAGGTTCCCTACAGTTTTGAAATGGACCTCCCTAGTTTTTACAACTTTATATTAGATAAGAAGAAGGTTTTAATAATGGCTGGGACAACAGAAATGTCCTCAATTTAAATCCTAGACTATATAAATTTTATTTGTTGTGTTGTCATTATGTTGTGAAATATGTATAAATAAACAAGTATTCAGTGCAAAATTATTGTTTTCGTTTATGATATGCCTCAAAGTTTAAATTAAATTACAAAAGTGTAAAATTAAAAGATTTCTAGATCTAAAATGAGCATATTTCAATAAACAGTTTCCGGCGGGGGCCCCGGACCCCTCTTTAGCTGGAGGGTTTTTTCCCCCCCAAACCTTCCTTGGGTGTGTCCCGTTTTTTCCATTTCATGATTTGGTCACCTTAGTATAGTTTAGCGTAAATTAAGTTGACATAAGCCACACTCACATATAATAGGCCCTAGTCTTTAATAGTAGTCTGATACGGAATTTTTTTGTCAGCATTTGGACTGAGTTGAATTCTAGAGTATGGAAAACAAATTTGGTACAAGCAGGCCTATGCCTACTGAAATCGCGGTAAACAACACATCCTAATTGATATATATGCCTACTGAAATCGCGGTAAACAACACATCCTAATTGATATATAAAATTGTAATCAAAATATTGGCTATTCCTAAAATAATTTTGTATAACTATAACTAACCCTGTGCAGTTAATGGTCTGCAACTTGCTGCTCCAGATATTGCATTCGGCTAATTTGGAGAGATGGCACCTTGACATCATTTGCATGTTTTGTCCTTGGTTCTGATAGGGTCAAAACCCAGCTTAGGGATAAATTTAGGGTTCAGGTTAGGTTTAGGGATAGATTTAGGGTTTGGGTTAGATTTAGGGATACATTTAAGACATAAGTTAGCGGGTCGCAGCAACCAAGAAGGTGGCCACGGTGCTATCTCTACAAATTTACCTTGCATTCTACTCTTTCAAGGAGAATAGATGTGGAATTATTTTATTACAAATCTATTTAAACATCCAACCCATCCTGTGGCTCTAAAAATATTTTCTTAGCAGTTATAGTTTTAAATACAAAAAATAGAAATAAATCTTGCATTTTAAGAAATATTAAATATTCTACTTTTTAGTGCATTTTAACTCTTCTTTTTAAAAAAGTTTTTTGGTCACTTTATACAATCTGTGTTTCTGTGTAGGATTCTCTCCCTTTTGTTTATTCTTGGATTGTTACTAGAGTTAGGTAAATATGTAATTAAAGGCATGGGTTTCACCAAGAGTTGTCTCACCCTAAGCGTACCCGGTAGTAAAATTTCTTTGGGGAATCCCTACAGCCTATACTGGACTTAGGGTGACAGGACCAACTGTCAGACCTAAACGATGAGAGTGACAACTTTCCCGTTCTTCACTGAGCATTATTAGTGTCAAAAACATAATCTGACAATCTATACAATTAATATGAAATATATTAAATTTAAATTTTCCCTTAGTTTTTTTAATTAAATTTTAACTTAAAAGGTTCAAAAGAAATAAAAAAGAGAGTCATCTTTGCTGATACCACAAGATGAACACCAGAACAAAGACGCATGCCTCAATTTCAATACAAAAGTTAAAAGGAAAATAATTTCTGACCCTCCCACCCCCTCCCTACTTTTTCCAAGACAAAAATTACAGAATGAGAAAAAATTATCATCATGTCCCTTAGTTTGTTAGGTTTTATTTAGGCTTCAACAATCGGAAAATTCTTCAAATTAGTCATATTTATTCTAAGTGTAAAAAAAAATTTTTTGCATAAATTATTCAAATCAGAATATCTTATTTGCGTAAGTGTTGAGATTTCAGTTTGATTCATAAAGATTGTATTAGTTCATTCAATTTCCTACAAGAATATAAATAGTTTTATATTTGTAAAGTACCGTATTTATTGGCGTATAACGCACACCTCAATTTAAGAAGGAAATTTCAGGGGGGAAAAAAAAACATTATATGGGCGTATAACACGCTCACATGATTTGCCCCCTATTTTCTGGGAGAAAAAGTGTGTGTTATATGCCAATAAATACGGTAATCATTTTATTTTTAACTTTAAAAATTACCAAAGTAAGTTCAAGGCTTGTGGAAAGGGTTCTGTCTTCTTGGCACCGAAAGTTCAAAAAGGCCAGAGGGGGTTAATGTTTTAAGACAACTTAAGACATCATTCATAGCATTATTCTTAATATGATCTTGTTTGTTATTGATTCTAGGCGCCACCAAGATATCAGAAACAACAACACATTGCCCCTAATCTTGGGACATATCGAGGTGGATCTCTCCCAAATGTAAATCAGATATCACAATCTCAAGGAATAGATTTACAGGTACTGTTATCCCGCTTATGTTTGATTCACATCAACCATATTTGTTTAAATAAAGTTGTTTTAAAAGGATAAGCATAGATCTTTCAATGATTCTTTATTTTTACAAATAAATATTAACACATTTAATTCAAAAAAGTTTCCGTAATAGGTCAGGTGAGAATAGTAACAGATTTTTACCGCTTTAATAGAAATGTAGAGCACACATAAGTTTATTTTATAGTAAATATACCCTGAAAAAAAATATAGGCCAATGATAGCTACATCAAATGTCTAGGTACTTAAGCTGGATATTTAGGGCCTTCCTGGTTCACAAAAACAAGCAACAACAAAACATGATGGAACTGGAAAATAAAAAAAATTAGAAACCACATTTTTTTGCATAGGTTTAAGAGTTTTTTTAGTTGACTTCATAAATGTCAAAAAGGTCATTGATAGTGTGGATAGATAAATCTCTATAGAAGCTGTGAAGACACTATGGAGAACTAAGAAGATATCCAAGAATGGTTATGGTTCATTGTCATCAGACTCCCTGGAGCAAAAGGTAAATAGTACACAATGACACTCTCCATCAGTTTAAGACTGTCTTGGCCCTTCTTTCCCTCCCCCACATACTGCCATTGATGCAGTACTTTACCAAAAATGTTACTTATTGTTCTGCTTGCATTGGTCTGAATTTCCATTGAGAAAAAAGTCCTCAAGGTCATCAAAATGAGAACCATCTCTTAACATTGTCAAAGGAAAGGCTAGAATATGTGAAAAATTTAACTTACTTAAGTGGAATTTTAGACAAACACGGAAGGGACAGATGCAAGCATAAAAGTGAGAGTTGGATTGGCCATGAGCAGCTTTTCTGCAGTTGAAAAATGTCTGAGCTTCCAAAGATCTAAAGCAGGAAGTAAAAGTCAGGGAATCGAACACCATTGTTAAAACTGTTTTCGATACAGTCCAGGAGAAGCATTATCTATCACAACAATCATTTTTTCAACTCATGTCTTTAAACAATCCTCAGGATTCATCAGCCTAACCTTATAAGCAATGGAAAATAAAATAAAGACCAGATGCTGAAGCATCCTATAAAGACAATATAGATGAATGGATCACTTGCTCCACTAATCTGCACCTTACATCAAAATACAGGCCTTCATTCTAGAATACCCAAGTCAAAAGGAAAAGGGCTGGCCTAGAAATACTTAGCGGTAAACAAAAAGACAGGAGAACAAGCTAGTATTGGGGTGCCTGATAATCTCTTGTATGCAGCCTTTTTCCCGGGCAGGGCGGGCGACAGGCAAACATTAAATCACTCAAGTTGTCTTTCGTAGTGAAGTTAAAATAATTATATCATATATTATATCTTGTATTTGCCTATAAAATGTTGAACAAGACATGATGTATCAAAGTTTGTTTTATTTTTCATTTTATCGGGCAAAAACATTAAAAAAATTACCTCCCAGGATTGTTATTATGTTTTCAGGCAACTCTTCAGCATTTAGATGACATGAAGCAAGGTCGATCAACATTAGTTCATGGAAGGCAAGATAGGAATAGGCAGCAAATTGGACCACACCGAAGAAATTTCCCCCCTGATAAAAGGGTATTAAAATAATATCATGTTTACAATATGGTATCATCTGATATCTACTTATTTAAAGACTTTGTCAGATTTTAGAGAAGCTGACAAAAGATTTAAAAAACTATTTTTAGAAAAGGCAGTGATTTCAAACAATTCAATATCAGAGATTAAAAAATGTATCTATATAAGAATCACAACATTATAATTTAAAGGATTAGTGACTTTAAAAAAAAAAACTTGAATGTCTTTCTTTTGATCCCACTTGTTTCACCATTTTCATGCCAGGGCATTACCACAATTAAAAGTGTAAATTGTATATTTTTTTTACAGATTGATTCCTCTCCTTATGGTTCTGCATACCACCTATCACCCCCACCTGACACAAGCTGGCGTAGGTAAGGTTGTTATAAAAGTTGCATAATTTTTTTGTACAATTTGATTTTTCATCTTCAATAGCGAGAACACTGTTGGTAGATTTATGTCATGTTCCCATGGTTGTCTAAATTATTTGAAAAAACTTCTGTATTCCTATATTTCTAAAATAGATGTTTGCACACTTTTGAATATGTAAACAAAAATATTTACATAATTTGTTAACCGTGTCTCTTTAATGGTCTTGCAAATATTCTTTAGGTTGTCTTTTGTAAAGAGTTGTAAAATATAAATGAATTTCTTTTTTATATAGTAATTTTTTAAAAGTTTGAAGGCTAGTTTCTTTTCAAATCTATGCTCATATTTTAAGCACAATGCTGCTTTTTATTTTAGTAGTATTTTAAAATTGATTGTTGTCACCAAAATAGCTTTCATTTCTAATTTTTCAAAATATGTATGCTTTATAAAAATAAATGTGCAATATTGCTTAAATTCAGTTGTTTTAAAATTCACTAAAACCTCTACTTCCAATGCTTATCTTTACAGATCAGTTGTTTATCTTGCTAAATATTCACTATCCAGTTATTTAAAAAATTATTTCCAAAATAAAATTAATTTATGTAACTTGACTGACCAGTTGTTGAACTACTGTTCTTTTTATAAAATGGCAATTGTAATAAAACTCTGCTGATTTGAAAGTTTTATTATACATTTGTGTTCAAGGGAAAAAGTACTGACTTATCATTTTAAAAAATAACACAAGATAGGCGGGTATTTTGACTTTTCCGTGTCTTCTGGCTCTTTTCTTTGGTTAGTGAAATCGGTTTATGTCAATATTATAACCTTAAATGTATTAATGTATTAATAGATAATTATTATTTTAAGATATTTTTTTTCTTCATGTTTTCTGTGCCATGCACCTGCCTGCAACTTTTCACATTTTCAAAAACTAACATTTTAGCTATAGGAAATTAAATACCATATGGGATTCAAATTAGCTGATGTTTGTCATTTCATGTGGAGCGTTTTGGAACTAATGTTGCACTGATTAGCAAATTGGCAGATTCCAATTAATAATTATGTGTTGAGCTTTGAAATAACTATTCAAATTATAAAATGTATCTAATTTATTGTACTGTTTAAAATTTCGAAGTGGCTATTTGTGGTAGTTTATTTTAGTTTAACTGAAGAAGTAAGTTTACAAACATAAAGTTCATTCAATTATCTTTCATTTGATACCAAATTTTGTCCTACGAACCCTACAATAATTTTTAAATATTTTTTTATAAACCCAAACTCTCAACGGGTCCGAATAGCCGCATCCTTAAAATTTATTCAAAAATAAAATCTGCTATTTAAGAGAAAAATGGGAGAGGGGAGGGTGTAAGGTAAACCATTCTTATTATAAAATAGCCCGACAATGAAATGGAAGCAAGTGCTACTTTGACGCTTTAGCACTTAGCATTGCTCCTAATCCTGGAAATTAGCCTTTGGTCACCACAAAGAGAAGCAGACATTCACTGGGAAAATTATAATGTTATTTGGTGTACATACGCACAATGCAATATTAAAACAAGACCTGAACTCCATCACTCTCAAACAGTAAATGCCTCCCCAATAAAAACAACACTAAAAAATAAATTAATTCTAAATAAAAGCAACCCCTAGAATTGAAGAATTTTAAAAGAAGCAATGTGAGTATATTATTTTAGCACAAATTTGATAATTTCCCATAAAACATTCAATATTCTATTAAGACTATGCAGATTTACTTCTAACATTCAGAGAGCATTTTTGGTAGGTCAACAACCAGATTAATCATCCAAGAAAAGTTAACGACAGATTTATTGGTAAAATTGCTGATTTAGCTCCATCACCCCAATTATTCATGCAGCCTTAGTCTAAATAATTGTATATAATGTAAAATGAATATATTTATATAAAGTTAAAATGATTTTTATTTTAGAATTAATTTGAAGCTTAATTTTGAACTAGAATTGTAGAGGGCTTGAAAACTAAAAATAGACAGGTGGTTGTAATGTTAAGAAAAATAATTTTCTATTCATAGATGACTAATCTACCAGATAAATTAATATTTGATTTCAGTTGGTAAAGTAGATTACAAGAATTTGTTTAATAGCTTGAGGTTTTGTTGTATCCCCTCCTCCTCTTCCTGGTTTATAACCAATTGGCTGAAACATCTTGCTGATAACATTTTTTTTATTTGTACATTGGAACTTTAACTTAAGGGAAACATTATCAAAATTTAAGATTTCATCAGTTTAAATATATAAGTTTATTGAAATAAAATTAAAACATTATTATTAAAATATTTGATACAGTCAGCTCCTATGAACAATTTAGGTTACATACATTTTAAACAAATACTTGTACATTTTTTAGTAAACATTTCACAAAAGAATTTATGTTTGTGTTGTATAATAAATGCTTGGCCAAAATTGTAAAAGTTAACTTTATAAAAGACTGATAATCTGTGACTGGGCAAGTGCAGTTGTTTGTCCATTGGAAAGGCTAAAGCATATTACTGAAGAAAAGTATCTTTGAAACAATGCTTGCTTCATTTACACGTTTGCCATAGTGTTTGAGTTCCATTGTTCATTAACAAAATATCCAATTGAGCAGAAGCTTTTTTTTTTTATTATTATTGTTTGTTTTTTTTGTTACCACCCTATGTTTTTCCTTTTTTTTTTTTTTTTTTTTTTTTTGTTTGTTTTTCCTTTTTTCCTGTTGTGGGCTTCCCAGGACGCACCGCTATCTGTATAGTGGCCTTTCATTGTCTCGGTGAGTGTATCCCCCTAGTCTGTATCTTTAGTCAAATTCCATCTTGACTCCTCCACTCATTGCATTGGATTGGCACCATAACACTAATATCATCATAGGTTTGGGGTTCTACTGAATGATGATGGTGTTGACAGAAGATGTTTGAAGCCTGCTCTGCATAAAATGCACTTTTTGTTTGCTATAAAAATATCCACTGAGTAATATGCCTTTCACTGATACACAATGTGTGCAGTATAAAAAAAATTAATTTTTTAACGTTTTTTTTTTCTTCTGTTTCTTCTTTTAAAAAAAGTTAAAATTATTATGTGTGTTTTTGTTTGTAAAACAGTATTAGTTAAACATTTAGTATATATCTTCATATTTAAAAAATATAAAATTACTATTACTGCAAAGCTACCACATTATCCTTGTAATCAATACCTCTCTGCAATTAACAGGTTTTACAGGTTTTTAACTAGCACATAGTTATTAATGTTTATCTTTGTAGGTAAGAAGGGAAGGCTGATTGAAATTTACTTTTTTTAAAACATTTGTTTGTGGGCACATGAATTTTGTGGAGTTTTTTTTAAATTTAATATTCATAACTGTTCCTCATCCCTTAAATAAAAAAAAAAAAGACAGGCAATGAATTAACTTAATATGTATTTTTGCTCATCTTACTCCTAACTTGGGTTTCCTCTTTAAAACCTTAAATTAATGTTAATTTCAGTAGCTGTAGAAAAACAAGTGTTGATCTAGTTTTAAACATTTTTATTTCAGGCCTACGTGTGCGTTCATTTAATCAGTTGAAAATTATTTTAATTTTATTTGTGTAACATGTAACATAAACGTTTGTCTCATAAATTGCCTAGTTAGGAAACCATTGACAGTAATAATAATTGGACAGCTTCATTAATCGTTTAAACTTGCTAAAAATGTATATTCGAATGAGCCATAAAACACATTGAAAAAAGTTATGCCCCAAGTTTTCTATTTTCTATTATAATCTTATTTGTGAAAGTTAGCAATATCTTTCATTACAAAATTGAATAAAACAAAAATTAATTTTTGCAGCTGTGAAACTTAATTCTCTATAACACTTTGTTAAAGCAGAAAATAATTTTTGTTACTCATGGGAAAGAAATCATTAACGCAAAGCATGTTTTTATTAAGACAATACCAACATTTCTGTGACTCCTCCTCTTACCCCCACTCCCCAAAAAGCCCCCCCCCCCCCCAAAAAAAAAAACAACCAAAAAAACATTTTACTCGTTACTGCTTAAATTTGAACTTATCTATTTGATAAATATTTACACATACATTGGAAATGTTTGATAAACTACCATGAAAAGTTAATTTTCTATTTTTAAATGTTTTTTTGTGTTTTTAATAAAAGCTGCCATGTTAGTAATTGTCTTATTACAATTATCCTCAAATATAATATTAACAAACTGTATTCCCTTATTATAAATATTAAGTTTATGCATTTTGTTAAATGTAAATGATTCTATACACTTAAAACTCTTAAGAGCCTTCATTTAGACTATATTCTAATTAAGTTAAAATGTTTGTTAGCTGGAGTATGCTTTTATTTCTTTTATTTAATTGGTAAAAAGTGCACTTGTATCATTATCAGTAATACATATCTTAAGTGTATAAAAGCTTTAGTTAAATATTAATTTGTGTCTTAGTTTTAGCACTTATAGGGCGATGAAACCCTCAGAATATAAAAATTATTTTTAATGTAATTTGAGTCTTCCAGTTTTAGAGCTAAAATATGTTTAAGAAAATATTATAATCTCAAGTTAAGAAATAGAAAGCTGTTGGTTGAATAAGTAAAATAATGAGTGACATAGGAACACACTTTTACAATCTCTTTAAAATATATATATGCTAAGTAAAAAGGATTAATTTTTCACTCCTTTTTTCCCTTTTCATTTAATATGAGTGGGATTTGTTTGTTTCTCTAAATTTCAGACATCCCAGAGAACTGAAATTTCATACACAGCATAGTCTCATTGCATATTTTAATTTGGACTACCCCATATCATCCCCTTCTTAATTTCTTTTCTTCAAAATGCCCCTAACATCCCACATTGACTGAGATTTCATTTTGGGTTTTGAAATTGAAAGGAATGGGTCTATTGGCCAGAATATGTACTCACACCATTGAACAATAACAATAAACAATTTTAATTAAACATATGAATATTAGGAACACCTCACTATCACCAACCCGCCCCACCTTCAGCCATGTTTTAAATATGGTTGATAGTTATGATTAATTTAACAGTTGCCATTGACCTATTGTTAAATATGCAGCCATTAGGTGGTTATATAAAAGGAGATATTTTTTCATGTGTCCCTAAATTATTCTGATATACAGAAATTTAAATAAAAGATTCAGAAATATATTTATGTAAATATCATTTCTTAGCATGTTGTATAAAGCTTTTGACAACTCCTAAGTGGAAGGGGTGAACTTAATCTCAAAATAAATTGCTGCTTACTCATAGCCAGGTTAAATCTTTACTACCTTATTTACCATAACTCAATACCTATTTTCCCTTCATATTATTTTATAAATGTTAATATTTTAATTCTGTTTATAAAAAAAAAAAAACACTGTTTTTTTTATTTGGATCAAATTTGGCATTAATCAAAATCAATAACGAAAAAAAAAACCTCAGTTAATCACTTCTGTTTCTCTTTTAGTATCTGCCTTTCTTTTAGACAACCATGGTAATGACTTGTAATTGAAATTAACATGTTGAAAAATTTTTGCTATCATGCATATAATGTATTTGAATTATAACTTGCATCTTGACAGTAAAATAAATAACTTTAGTTTTAACTTTAGTTTTGCTAGTTTTTCAATTTGTAGGTTCATCGATTAACAAGAAAATATGGATTTTATTTTGAAGCCTTCTGATCAAGGGACAAGAGAAAATAATATTTATAACTTTATTTCCCAGGGTTCACTCAGACCCATCTTTACACATGAATGCTATGGGAAATGCTAACAACAAGAATTATGCACATCCTCCTGTGACTCCCCCATCGCATCGCAGAAGTAAGTATTTTCATATTTCAGAATATCCCTTGTAATAATTATTTTATTCACTACACTGTTGTCCTGTCTACTGAAGAAAGCTCTTATCCAAAACTTTCTCTTTTTATTGTCCTGTCTTTATATTTGAAGGTTCCACATACCTTGTTCCACTAACTTTATGAAGTGGACAGAAAATGCAACAACCCTCCCCCTTAAAAAAATCTTCCTGGAGCAAAGAACCCTCTTTGTACCCTGGATGGTATGGTTATCTAAATGGCTGTGAGGAAAGGTTTAGAATACATAGCAATTAGGGATGAAGTCCGAGGGGAGGGGGGGGGGGAGGTACTCATCCTAGTAACGTTCAAACTGCAGAACCCCACGGTACAGAAATGTCTTTCCACAGCCCTTCTTTTATTTTTAGTGATGGTATGGTTATCTAAATGGCTGTGAGGAAAGGTTTAGAATACATAGCAATTAGGGATGAAGTCCGAGGGGAGGGGGGGGGGAGGTACTCATCCTAGTAACGTTCAAACTGCAGAACCCCACGGTACAGAAATGTCTTTCCACAGACCTTCTTTTAATTTTAGCTTACAATGTACAATTTTGAGGTGTCTGTTATGATTGTACGCCAAGACCCATCTCAACTACGATTTTAAGAAACCGGGTTTAAAATATTTACATTCTGGTAGCTTTTCTGATTAAAAAATAATAATTAAAGTACATTTTTTGTTTTTAGTTCTAACCTGCTTTCATCATCCAGCAGTGAATGGATAGAGAAATATGATTGGTTGGGGACCAACTATAATTATATTACGTTTGCCCTGAGAGGGAAAAGCAATGGTGTTGATTTAAGATATTTTGCAGGGAGGGAGATTCCTTTATATTAAAGTCTATAAAATTAACACTGCCACATTTTTGTAATGATAGTGGTGATAGTTAAATTGTTGCCTTGTGTGTTTTCATATTATCTTGCTAGACACTGCAACAGTAATATTAGTGGAGTTGCCTTCGTTACAATTTTAGCATTTGTTTTCTTCTGTGCTGTATGATGTAATTTTGTGACATAATGATTTTTTTAGGCGAACCTCGGCAAGTACAGAAAAGGAGAATGAATTCTCAACTGTCCTTTGCTGTGACATTAGTTTTTGACATACTTTTTAGGATTTTGATAGGGTAGTTGAAATCTATTTTTATAAAGCACAAAACATCTGTATGATTTTTATACCGTACGCCTGATTGGTTCCAACACTTCTCTTCCTTTCACCCATTTACAGCTTGTGATAGTTATCAGACTATAATATATTAGTGGGAAATAGACATAAGGAATATTGATTCTATTTTTTTTTAACTAGCTTTTTCCTAAAAAGTTTTTTGGTAGGTTTTTTAAATGATGTCATCATTTGTTAATTAACTCTCACCAGGTATATCATTAAATTTTATTTGATCTGACTTTGAATTTGAACCACATCAAATTTAACCAGTAACTTTATTTTTACCAGTGACAGATTGTGATAATGTGATCTGCACTTTCACTCACTATAAATTAATATCTATGGCAATTAAAAATCTACAAAACAAAGTGACCTTAGATTGCAATAGAAATGTCGGTCATCTACTTTTGGAGTTACCTTTTTTGTCGCCAGTTTAACTCAATCCTACTAGACACGCATTGCGAGTAGTTATTGTACGGTATACATTATATGTACTGTATGTTTATTTATATACTATTAAGATATTGTAAGATTTTGAAACGATATTGTACGATTGTTGGAGTTTGAGGGCAAATATGTCTGCTTAGGTTACACAATGCTTTGGTGGCGACCTGATTGGGGGAATATGCTGTGTTTGTAACCTATTTAGTTGACACAATGCACTTTTGGCATCCTCTTGTGCCAACCTTTTTCTTATGGGACCCTGCTCTTTAATTTTACTTAGATCAGAACCTCTTGAAGGAGTTGTTAATTAGGATTTTTTGCATTTTGATGACAACAGTTTTTACTTTCACTGTGCTAATGCTGATCCTGTCGCATTGAAAATTACAACAAAAAAAACAATTCATTTATTATCTGTGTGAAAATCTAATGTTTTGGTTTTATTAGTCATTTAAAGATGAGTTAAAAAAAGCATCTGAAGTACTGAAGCTAAAAACTACATTTTTCAAAAGATAAGTAACAAACTTTAATTCATTTCTTCCTCCCAAGGAATAAATTTTTAGCAGGGTATTAAAAATAACTGTTTATAAATATATCCAAATTTTTGGAAACCTTTAGTTAGTTGGAAACCTTTTTATTATAAAATAATTATTAAAAAACGGTTATAATTAGTGATAAGTCTAGTTATGCTGAAGTGGCCATGGTGTGCATTCATTGAAAGAGTAATGTGTTTACATTTCATTCAAATTAAGATTTATAATTGCTGTTAAGATTTATATTTGCTTGTGGCATTGAATCCATTTGAAATTTATTTTAAATGTTTAAGCTGCTCTTGAAAAAATCCAGATGTTGTTACATAATTTTAATAAAATATTTAACCTTTCAACTGAGCTGTAACTGTCTCTGGCTAGGCACCACTTCTAACCCTATGAGTTAAGATTATTTAATTTTTGTGTTGTTTTTATTGTTGGCTGAAGAAGGCCTTTTGCCTCGGATGAGTTTTACCCACTTTTTGATTGCAAAGAAGACCATGTGATCATTTGATTTGAAAGCTATTTTTTTTTTTTTTTTTTTAAATTTATTAATAATTTTTATTATGTTTCTTAAATCTCAATATCAATTGAAGGATGTGAACCTTAATATTGCATTTTTCTTTAGGGATTAAAATGTAATATTTAATGTTCTGAATTCCCTTGAAATTTTTTTTTTTTTAAAGTTTTTTTTTTTTTTTTTTTTTTAAATTTATTAATAATTTGTATTATGTTTCTTAAATCTCAATATCAATTGAAGGATGTGAACCTTAATATTGCATTTTTCTTTAGGGATTAAGATGTAATATTTAATGTTCTGAATTCCCTTGAAATCTGTAATGCTTAATTTGCAGTTGTTGAAATGGTAGGTGAAAATGCTGGGGATGGACTGCAAATGAATTACTGGGATTCCAAAAAACTTGGTGGGCCTTCACGACCTAAATCTTGTGAGGTTCCAAACATCAAGTTAGTCAGATATTTCTTTAGTCTTAATTTGGATAATGTTCTCATGTTGTATATTTACAATTATTGAAATAAATATTTAAATAATACATATTTGTAATGTTTTATTTCAGTAGAGATTATTATGCATGTTTAAACTTTGAAATAATATATTTTTTTTACCAGCATCTATCCCAGCCAGGAGCATGATGGTAACAATTCCTCTTCGCCTGTCATTCAGATGACAGCCAATAACACAGGGTCTCTACCAGATCTGTCTGTACTACATTTTCCATCACCTCTGCCAACTCCATTAGATCAGGATGATCCTTTTAATACTGGTGCTGCAGGCAATAGTCCTGTCAGTCTAAGTCCTACTAGTCCACATCACATGCCTATGGGTCATCAAAGTCCACAAAGTCCTAATCAGCGCAGGCGGCAAACTCAAGGCATGCCTCTGCCCAGTCCACTAGTTCTCAACCAAATAGGAGGCCCTTCCTCTCCAGTAAGTTTTACATTTTTTAAGATCCCCAAATAGGCTATGATGCACAGTAGTGGAAAAACTCAATATTTACGTCCAACTCTAAGAGTGCCTGAACATGTAGGATTTCCTCCTCTCCTCGCCCCCCCCCTCTTTTTTTTTCTCCCTTCCCAAACCAGCTCTATAGATAACTGGCCTGTAATGTCTATTTAATCATGATGCTCAAATCATTTTCTTTAAAATATGTCCCACCTCTTTCTGTTGAGGGCTGTTTTGTCTCTCTAAAGGTAATGTGTGTGTCACATTAAAACATTCGGTACATTTTTATAAGTAAAAGATGATATACAAAATATTAATGTACTAAAATACCCAGTGTCTAAATCACCAGACTATGTTAATAACATAGTATGGTGTTTTGCCCATACATTTTGTGCTTTATGATTATTCAATCACTTTCTTAGTGCTTTTGCTTCTTTTCTTTCTAGTCTTCCCTCACAATTTTAATCTGTAACTTAATGAAAAAATCAAAGTTGGAGATTGTAAATCGTGGTGAAATGGCTGAAAGGAGCATTCTGATTTTCCCAGGTGTCCAATACCAGTTTTCCAAGTCTGCTCATGATCAAATCCTATTTCTGTTGTGGCACATCATACTACATATAAAAAGGAGGGTTGGGTTTAGCTGTATTTTATGGTTAATATTGATGTATCAATTAAACAGATGTTTCACTTTACTATCAGCGGATTCTGCCAAGGACTTTCAAAAAAATAAAAATGTAAAAATACATGATTTTCTAAATGGTATTAAACTGGTAATTAGCACTATTTAAAAATATGAAACCATTTAAAAAGGACTTTCGGCAAGAGCAACCATTTAAAATATTGAATGGCTTTATAGCAATTCAATTTAAAAATTATAAATAATACATCTCTGTCTAGTGCTCATTGTTTTATATGTTTAGAAAGTAATGTGTTTGCTTTAATTAGTCATCATTTGTTTAATAAGCCTTTAATTTAGCTTTTGTTGTGCCTACAGTGTCTAATTATTGTGATACAAAATTCAGTAGTTCCCAAAATAATTCTTACTATTGATTTATTAAACTGATTTTACATGATAAATCTAAAATGATTCAATGCTAAATTACATACATGACCATACTGAATCTTTTCTTCTATACTTTATGTTGTTGTTAGTACCAGACTATAGATACATGTTAGCAAAAGAGAGAACACAAAAATCTCTATTGTATCTTTTAAATACTCATTTTATAAAGGAATTATAATTTGTAAATGAGCTTTTTTTCCCCTTCTGATATCAATTTGCCCTTCCCTAGCGTCTTAGTAGAAATGAAATACTTCTGTATTCTAATTTGGAATATTAATTTATTAGAAACTAAGCTGGTACAGTTTCCATGTTAATGAAGAAAGGCTGTTTTGAATATTAAAATCCTGTTAATATTTCTTGGAAATCATGGCTCTAACAGTGTATACTTTTTAAACATTTTGTTGACACTGAGGTAAAAATACACAAATGAAAATTTTGTCTGTTTTTTAAAACTCACAAGTCAATTTTTTTTAAACTTTATAACCCTATAACTGTCAAAAACATTTTTCTTTAGCATCAAGCCATTTTTAACAATTTCATACGATTATCAAAAATCACAAACAAAATTAATTCAGAGACCATTACAAGTATACATTAAAAGGTATGAAAAGAATGTGTTTTTATGTTATGTATGTTGATATTGACTTTGACCTTCACAGAGTGAGTAAAATTTTAGTATTCAACTTCTAAATTCAAACCACCCAATATATTCCATAAATTGTTGAAACTATCACAAAATGACATTTTTGAGGTAGTAGAAGCTATATTAATATTCTTTCAGAAAATGTCAAGTTATAGTTACTTCTTTGAAAATTATGATATTGGTGATTTTTTTTCATTCAGGACCTTCAAATTTTTTTCATACAAAATACAAAAGGGAAGGCACAAAATGAGTTCAAAAATTTTATTTTCAATTGAAGTTATTAACTCCATTTTTTATTAATTAATACTCCAGAACATACACAAACATAAGTATCTTTGAGGTAAGTCTATGGGATCCAATATGTGTCTTTTTCAGTTAGTTCCATCCTTTCCCAAACGAATTTGTATGTAACAATAAAGCTAAGCTTAAGGATATAATTGTCAATATCTGACTCTTATCTCGACATCACCGTGAGAGCTAAGACAGTCATTTCCAGCACATGGAATATCTCTGAAATCTTTGCATCCATTTTAATATATTTGAAATAATTCCAATAAAGAATTTCTGTGTTAATTTTGAAACCTAGATGGGGGCCCTCACTTGCATCAGACATGGCGGTAAAAAAATTCATGAAAATTTTACTAAAACATCCCTAATGAAAGCACGTAAACACACTGATAGTAATGGAAATAAGAAGCAAACTCATTTATATAAAGTGATTTGCCCTTAAACAATATATTATTATATTAAATCATTCACATTTTTAATGATGAATTTGCTAGAGGCCGATTATATTGTCCATGACAGAAAGTGGTATAATGGCCAATGATCGGCCTTAGGTCAGTTATAATTTTAAGATAAATGCAAATATGAATTGATCAAAAGTAGATTAAATATAGACCACCAAGTTCTTTTAAGTAAACTTATGACATGGTGGTTTGTTGTTACTTATCATTCCAATTTTATTTAGTCAGTGTTAACTTTTATTTTTCCTCTTTAATTTGCTTCATTTTGTTTGTGAAATCTATTGAAAGCTTTCTTAGTCTAGTGCTGGTCTTGCTGTTGTGCTTTTGTCAGCTTGTCTTGTTTGTTTGGTTTTAGGCTGGATTAGCAGATATGGACCCCTGCATGCGACAACAGTACATGTTATGTTTACAGCAGCAGCAACTTCTTCAGCAACAACAACAGCAGCAGCAAATGAGGCACCAGGGCACTCAGTCTCCCCTTAGTCAACCTTTCCCTGTCTCACCATTATATTCACCCACACATCAGCGCTCTTTAAATCATCACCGACAAGCAACCAAGCCATCCTTACCCTGCTATCAGCATAATCATATATCATCACCAACAGGATCACCAACTCATTCTCCCAATGCCCCCAGCCAATCTCACCTAAATCAGTCACCTTACACATCTCCTCAACACTCCAACCAGCCTCAACAATCTCCACCTTTGGTGCCTCATGTCCATGTCACTAATTGTGATGATCTTGGTTCTCAGGTAGGTTATTTTTTGTTTTTGGTGATGTATTGGTGTATTTATGCTTTAGATATTGCACTGCATTGTTTAAATTCCATCAATGTTTTAGCTGTACCACAGGAGTTTTTAAATAAGCATGTGATGATAAAAATTACTTTCTTCATGCATAAAAGTGGATATTTTAGGTGGACCTTTGGCACAATGTAAGCCCACATGTTTCCTAATCAGGAGTTAGCAAGTTCAAGTGAATTCAGTGTTAGCCCCAGCTTGGGTCAATAGATGGAATGGACTCATCATCCCTTTGAAGAATGACATGTTGGGGGGGAACTTTGAAGGGGGGGTGGGGTAGGGTAGGGTAAATTCATTTTTTAAAAATTGACGTTAATTTGTCAGACCTGTATACTCTTACAAATTTGTCGAACGATGTACAATTTTGAGATATCTTTTACAATTGTATGCCAAAACCTGTCAGAACTATGGTTTTAAGAGACCGGGTTGAAAGTATATACATTCCGGTAGTTCTGGTATTTATTTTATAAGTTATTAATAATGTATGTTTAGTTATTTACTATTAAGCTACTGTATTGTACGATTTTGAGATGATATTGTATATGATTTTAAGAGTTTGAGGGTAAGTAGGTCGGGGGGGGGGGGGGTTCGTCAAAAAGTATGTGTGCAACAGGCTTTTTTTTTTTGCCAACGCTCTATAAAGATGGTCCCTACTTGGGTTTGTTTGCTTTGGTGCTGTATGACGTAATTTATTTATTTCCGCTGAACTCAACTGTTCCGCACGGCAACATTAGATTTGGACATATTTTATAAGACCTGGGGGAGATTTAAATAAATTTTTAGAATGCTCAAAACAGCTGTAACAGCAGTATAGTAGATTTTTAATACCCGCCCTTTTCCTTTCACCCATTTACAGCTTGTGGTGGTTATCAGACTGTAATATGTAACTGGAAATAAGCATAAAGAATGTTGATTCTTATTAAAAAAAGTTTTAACAGCTTTTCCTTTAAAAAAATTCTCAAGTTACTTGGTACTTTTTTTGTAAAAAAAACTCCTAATTTCTTAATTAGTTCTTATTTTAATAAATTTTATTTTATGCTGATCTGACTTCAATTTTGAACCACATTAAATTTCACCAGTTACTTTATTGGACTGTGATAATGTGATCTGCACGTTTTCCTAGATATTTATTAATTGATATCTATAGCAGATACACATCATCAAAACAAAGTGACTGCAGATTGAAATAATCATCAGTCATCTATCTTTAGTAGACACGTGATGCAAATGGTGTTCAATGAATTTGAACAAGCTTGTGGTCTAGTGGATTTGAAAAGGGGCTAACAAGGTAGACTTAAGACACACTATTGGCTAAAATAAAGAAAATCAGTGCTCTATATAAATGTGCTTTATTACATTGAATCTAATATGAACAAAGATACATAAAATCTACATATCAAGAAATGAATACAGGTCAAACACTAATAACATCTAAAACTCACAGTAATATAAACAATACTATTTCAAGTCTAAGTTCCTGGAATTACTATTTCTGCTAAATATTGAATGGCCCTATCTAGTACTTAGCAAATGCAACGGAAAGCTAGTCACGGAACGATATGCTCATCTCGTCTCTCTCTCACTGTAGGGGAATACACCCAGTATTTATATTGAAACATTTGGAGTGGCTTGACCTTAAATGTGGGTCAGGGTTGGCTTAGATTTTGCTCCGGCCATTATAAGGTTAGAAGGTGGTAAGATGATACGGCTAGGCTAATGGGTTACATAAAGAAAATGGCCCTACCTTCTAACAATACTGTACGTTTATTTATTTACTATTAAGATACTGTATTGTACAATTTTGGGATGATATTTTATGATTTAAGAGAGTGGGGGTTAACAAGCCTGATTTGTGAACATATTGTATATTTTAAAGTGGTAGTAAGGCTGAAATACCCTTTTACCTCATTTAAGAAAATTACATCAATATAGGAGTAGAGATTCGTGTTTGTAATTACTTTTAAGTTCAGGGCATTTTTAAAAAAAGAAAGTGTTTCCAGTTTTTTTTTTTTTTTTTTTTTTTGTGCGCGTTAAATAAAGCTCTGGTCAAGCACTTGTTGTTTCAACTTAAAAATTACCTGATTGAACACATTAATTAAGAGTTTAAAATACAATTTAAAAGTTGCTGTTTTTCACACGGACAGTTGTAATGAAAGCCTAAAATTTTGTTCCTCTAATCTCACTGCAAAGTTTAATCTTTTTTTTTAGAAATAGGACTTTTCAAGCTTAGGCTATTCTAGTCAAGCTAAGATAATTATTACAATGGTCCTGACAGTGAATTTATTAATTCATTTAACTATATTAAATGAGTCAACTTATCAGCTTTTGGAGTATTATATTTAAGACTGTGACTACATACTTATATATATTATTTATATTCATCAGGCATCTATGACACAGTATCGTAATACCAGTGTTTCAGACTCAAACTGCCAATCTCCAACTTCTCCGCATTCGGCCCCTTCATACAGTCCTGCACAGTCTCCAGGCATAACACCTAACAACCAAACGGTCAACTCAACTTTCAGTGATGCTTACTACATTCAGCAACAGCAGCAGCAACAAACTAATGCCCTGCAGCATCAGTTTGAACAGTTTAACATGGTATGTGAAGCTCAATATATATATAGATATAGATATATACAGATACAGATTATATATAGATATATATATATATATATAGATATATATATATATATATATATATATATATATATTTATTTGTATATATATATTTAAAACATACTCTCTTTATATAATATACACTCATATATATACTGTATTAGACACATTTTTTATATATGTGCACACTATGTGTTTTTTTGAAGCTCAATATATATATAGATATAGATATATACAGATACAGATTATATATAGATATATATATATATATATAGATATATATATATATATATATATATAGATATATTTATTTGTATAGTTATATTTAAAACATGCACTCTTTATTTAAAATGCACTCATTTACATACTGCATTGGACACATATTTGATACATGTGCTCACAATGTGTGTTTTTTATGGGGCAGTTATAGACATTCTTGGATGGAAACAAACTGCCCAATAAATTATCTTATTTGAATTTTCAATTCTTTGTTTGCTTAAAGGGTTTTTTAAAAACTAAATATTATATAATTACAGTTAACAATTTTTAATGTCATGATGTTTTTTGAGCTATTAACCTCAAGCTGTGTATAAATTTTTTGTAAAAACCTCTAGCGTCAGGGTTTCCCAACCTGAGGTGCTGGCAACGCCTGGGAGTGGTAGGTGGAATTTCGGGATGGGGGCTATGAGAAAAGAGGCTTTAAAAACAAAGAAGACATTTGTTTAATTTTTCCACAGTTCTTTTTGCAATTGAATAAATAATTAGAAGTCTGTTATTTTAGAATTTTTGTCGGGCTGTGAGACTTTGTAAAACAATTCATAGGGAGTGCGAGACTAGACGAATAATTCGTAATGGGTGAGAGCATAGAAAGGGTTGGGTAACACTGCTCTGCATAAAATGTTTTATGACATTTATTTCATGTTGTTAAAGAGAGTTTTTAAAAATTATCAGTTGTTGCAAAAGTAGGTCAAGAGACAGCACTTATTATTTTGAGTTATAAACTGGGATTGTTGAAATAGCAGACTGCAAAATGCTTATAAATGAAAATAATAATTACCTAAAAAGTCTCCAAAAGAAAATTTGACAATTTTTGCTCTTAGTAAAAAAAAAATTAAATGACCAGCTACCTGTGGTATATGGTAATTGATATTTGCACACCTAAAAATCGTGAAAACAGATTATCTTGAATTAATCTGTCTATACTTAAAAAGTTTTAATGTTTTGAACTTAAAAACTAGATTTTCTCAAAATGATGAAAGTATTTTTATTTGCTGGTCTTAAATAGATGCCATGTCTTCCTGGTCGTTTGCATAGTTTTGCACTTAAAAAATTCCTGCAACCCTTTATTCCCTCCCACCCCCTTCTAACACTATTGAAATTGAAAAGTTATGTCAAATTGATATAATATTTTATTTTAAAATCGATTATGTGCACATTAATCAAAGCATTATCTGATTAGTTTTGTTTTGTGTTTTTCACTAAGAATGTGAATACAGTGACTCAAATTAGACTTGCATAGAGTTGAATTCCAAATTGTTTCAATGGCTTTTAATCAATACTGATCTGACAGATATTATGACAGCCAATGAAACAGAGATTATTTTTCATAACACTGATGACAAAATATGAATTTAAAGAGATTTGCTCACTCACATCCAGTCAAACAAATAAGAATCAGAACTAATCTGTGTCCTAGACCTTGATTTGATGCTCATCAGGAGATACTTTTCATATTTGGTTACCAAAGCTTGAAATATTTCATATTTACATCTGTCAAATATTCAGGTATCGTCGATACTCTTATAGAAAACTCAGCAATTAATGAAACAATATTCCACCAAGTGTGACGGAGCTAATTGAAAAATATTTTATTTTATAAAATTGAGTATATTTATGTTGTTTTTTTTCTTGGAGCATAAATCCTTAATCACCCATATCTTTACAGTTGCATACATCCCAACTCAAAACCCTGGTTAAATGCTTCTAATTCTAAATCCATGTACAACAAGTTTTCCTCTGGTTTTGTTGCACATAGCAATCTTTGCACTTATTTTGTGGGGGTGGGTTAAGATGTATTAATTTTACATTGTTAAATAGATGAGATTATGGTCTCTTGAAAGCTGTTTATTTTATAAACTATCAAAGATTTTAATAGTTAAAGAATTTATAATAAATATTTTAAAAATATTGAATTGAAATTAAGAAAACTTGAAGCCCTGGATATCTTCTTTAGATTTATGTGAAATGAGCCGTATTTTTTTTTTAAATACTAAAAAAAATGTTGGGTCATGTAAAAATGACTATAATTAATCTTTAACCTTTTAACCTTTATGTGCTGGTACTTGGATCTTCAAGTGTTAAGATGGGGATTCTTATTAGAAGATCTAGGTGGTCTCATGGAAAAACAACATCCACCAAGAAATGCGATGAAAGCCAACTATATTTTGTTAGAAGTTTTTGTAATTCATATTTGCCGTCTGGTACAAATGTATCATTCTGAAAATAAGCATTCAACTGATCACCCAACTAAACCAAATGCCTCTAATCAAAAGATCCCATTTCTATTCATAGTCATCTATAATTTAGAAAGCTTTTCCAAAATCTTAGAAATCTTGTCATCAAGAAAGTGTCATCAAGGTCATTTAGGCATGCCAGCCAAATGAAACTCCCTTCCCTATGAGTCTGGCATCTTCTTTCCCCAGAGCCCCCCACAAGTAAACTCAACCACCATGGACTCAACAGTTTTGACTACGAATGGCTTGAGTTTAGTTAGTAGTAATAGCACTAGTAGTGCTAACAGCTTGGTCTTTTCACAACATCCAGGGATAGCATTATCCTACTCTCAGGTATGTCTCATGAAAGCATACAAAAAAAATAAAAGGTTAGCTTCCATGTAGATTGTAGTGTAGGCTGAGCCAGTGTTTCTACTTTGCCTGAAACTTGGGTTATTTGAATTAGTCTTACATAACCAGCAGAATAAAGTTGAAATGATTTTTTGTTGTATAAATTCTAAATGATTGCAACATATATTTCACTTTCTTTCCCTCTTCTTCACAGGCAGCCATGTTGGCTATGTCAAGTGCTGATGACCTTTTTCAGCCACATTTTCTTGGTCCCATAGATGTGATGGCCAGTGGTCAGCACAATAGCCAGCTTATAATGTCCTCTCAAAACAATCGACACATGAATCAGCAAAACTCCATGTCATCTCCCACCTCTGGCAGCAAAATTCCTGACATCATTCTTACAGGTGCAGAACAGTTGCTTTACGATTGTAAGGTTATTTTCTAGGATTGTTTTTAATGTTCTTTTTTTATATATATATTTCTCTGTTGTTAAGTTAAATTTAAAATAAATGGTACCAACCCCCAACCTCACAATTAACTTTTAATATAAAACATATTTTAATCTAATCTCCTTTAACCCTCGAACTGTGGTCGGACGATGAAATCGGCCGATATTCTCGTTCTGTGCTGTGGCAGCCGAAAAAATCATCAGATAAAAAACACAGTCCGATAGCAACTTCCAATCCAATATTTAACCGAAATCATAGCCATTTCCTTTTATTAATAATGAAATCAACTTCCTGGTGAAGCTGTTTCTTGATAACTTAACAATAAGTACTTTTTAATTGTAATTTTTATGGCGGAAGCTATGGCCAGGCCTTCAGTGCGAGAACTAATATAAATATTTTTGAAAGCTTTTTAGGAGAGGATTTAAGTGATACTGATGATGATTTTAACATTCCCTATGACATCTCACTTCAGATTCTTCTTTTCGTGAATCTGATACTAGTCTTAGTGATACTGAAGTAGGCCTACTGAGGCTACTGTTTGACTTTGAGCCAGGCCCGGAGTTTGGGCAAGGACTGACTGAATTTTAGTAACAGAAGCTACATAATTATAGATCAGAACTAATAAGTTTATAGTTTAATAACCCAAATCAGTTCCACGGTTCCTTTTTAAATGTTTACTAGTCAATAATTACTATTTTGCCTGTGATTTTGTATTTTGTAATTGGTTTTAGCAGTGGTCCCAGTTTCTTACAAAAATGACCTAAAATGACTAAAATTGCTTTCAGATGTTTAATTGCAATCAAAACCTTAGCAATCTATACATTTTCTGATAGATAAATGAATTGGCTACAACATTTAGATTTGTATTTTAAGACTATATAAAAATTAATGATGTTATGAGCACTTGAAAGCAAGACATTTTGTCGATTTTTATTTTCTTGAGAACTCAAGGTCAAGGACACTGAGCAAAAAAAAAAATTCAAGGGGTGGGCAATATGGGCAACTTTATCCCCATCCATTTACCTTTCTAAAAATATATAATTATTGGGGTCTTGCATCAATATTTCTATGTCATTTAATGCAATTTCAAAAGGCACTCAAAAAGCTCTACACCACAGAATGATGCATGCCACAGTTCGAGGGTTAATCATTGTACAATCTTTATGTGGGCCTGCATTCTGGTGTTGTAAGACAAAAATTGAAGTTGTCAGAAACCAAACTTTATTTACTGGTTTTAAATTATTATTAGTATTAGTTTTAAGTAGAAAGTGTTTTATAATTATAATTACTCATTATGCTTTGTAACGAGAAAAAAAAACATTTAAAAAAACACATTTTAATCAGTGTCATAATTGTTGTACACGTTCTGCTTACTTTTTTTTTACCCATTGGCCCATTACTCACCCTTTGCACCTCTCCTATCCAGTACAATTAATAATAACTTTTCATAGCATCAAGACTAAACATTTTATGTAGATAGCATTCCTTTGCGCAAGAAAATTGACTAAGAATTTGGTATTATTTTTAATGTGCTGTTTTAATGTTTAAGTAATATGCTATTCAATTCTTTGCCAAACATGTTGTAGCAGAAGTTTTCAAACTCTTAAAAATAATCAAGGGGGGCTTAAAGTAATAGAGATAATGTGGGTAATTTATATTCTCATATTTAAAATATTAATCCATATAAAGCCTTTACCTCAAAACTTAATAACTTTATGCCATTTAAAACAATTTTAATGATCTTTAAAAAAAAAATTTAATTAACTCTATTTGTCAGAATCAATTTTGAGTTTTATAAAAGTTAACATTTCTGACTGACCAAATTTTTGTGTTATATTAAATTATGCATTAGAATTGGTCTGTCAACAAACCACGAACTGGATCTCTTTGCATAACAATGTTATTTAGCCTCTTTTAATTTTTAGTTATCTTTTTTATTGAACAACTTATAGGCAATAAAGCATCTTTTGTTAAGACAATACTTTTGCAAATCCATGTTACATAAGGAATGAAATTGGGAACCCAAGCCAAGCCTTTAAGGGCGCCCAAGAATTTCAATTTGAACACACAAACACAAATCCCGCCCCTCCCCTAACCCCTGGCCACTTGATGGTATATTTCTTTACTCAATTCTTGACTTTAGGAATTCTATTATTTATGAGATAAAAAGTAAAAACATATAATGATTTATCTTAGCAAATCTTATCTTTTACGAATAACTCATTTAAAGGAGCATTTGTTATAAATTATCTAGGATAAATTAGCATGTCGATGTAAATGAAGTGTTAAAACTTATAATTGATTCCATAAATGTGTACCGGTAAAAGATTTTCTTTTTTAAAAAAAATACTTTTTAAAACTTAAAAAAATTGAATAGTCACTAGATTGAAATGAATGTGACATTGTTATGATTCTGATCTCTTATTTCATTTTAATCTTTATATTTTCTTTCTATGTAAAATCTTTTCATTTTAGTAACTAATCCACCTTCCGATGTTAGTGTAAATTTTTTGTTTTTTAACAAGTTTGCTATTTTTAAAACGTATTTTACATGACTCTTAGATGGCTGGGTAATATCAACTTTTAACCCTCGTAAAAAAAAAAACATGATATTAATCTTTGTAATCATTTTTTTAAAAATAAATACAATTTTGGACATCCAATAGTGCATATCAAATAATCAACACATTTTAGGCATTAAATTGACTTACTGCCATCGATGCTTGGCCTTGATTATCACTCCCCAAATACTAAACAGTAACACAATTTCATTAATTTTGATTTTATAATTAATTTTGGACTAATTGTAATCAAGTCTTTTCATGTTACTATTTTTTTTATTCCAAGGTGCAGATGACATGTGCCGGTTACCATTGGACTTTGCCAAAGATTTGGGAAATGCCATTACTGGCATGTCCGATAGTTTTGATGCAGACTTTCTTACAAATGATGAAGCTTTTAAAGCTGGCCTTGATCCTTTAGACTTTGAAGAGATTCAGATGTTGACAGATGCTAGCCTAGTTGCTGATCCAGCCACAGAGGATTCCTTTAAACTTGATAGATTATAATGACTCCCGTGAATGACATGGATTTTTCAAGAAAATTTCTTTCTGCTTCGATGTTCTACACATATGTGTTCGGTACTTGGGTGTTGGAGTTTGTAAACTGTGCATTAACTCCCCAGCTTTCTGAGATGAGTTCATGGAACATTCTTCTAGAGTACTATTGTATTGAAGAAAGATGAGACAATCAGTACATTATTGTTTGGAGGCTCTTCTATTTTGAAGGTTATAATGCGCAAACAGCACCAGAAAGTTTATCCCATGCTAAGCCGTTTCTGCCTGAGAACAAAGAGGAAAAATGTATATTGCCGCAGACAGTTCATGATTTTTTATTTATTTTTTTTTTTTATTGTTAATGAAACTTTGAATTTTTAATTATTAAACAATCATAGTTTTAAATAATTTTTTTTTTTTTTAAATATTTCTTATCAGTAAATAAATAAATATGTTTAGGAAAAAAATTGGGGTGTATTTCTCCCCCATATTTTTACTGAATTATAACACTTTTAGGTATCCACAAATACAAAATATTTAGCAGAGCTAAATATGCTAAACATTACAAAATGTTAATCTGTTTTTTAGCAGAAAGGAACTTTGTGAAATTATTTTATAACCTCAGAGCTGATAGTAAAAATAAATTATAATAATCAAATTTTTAGTTATTCTTTCAACTTACATATTATAATGTATAAATGATATTGATATTACATTTTAAAGCCCTGTTTAAAAAAAATAACTTAAAAGCATTAACTATTACATGATAGAACTTTTAATAATATAGATGTTAGAGGTTTTGTTGTTTTAAACAGTCAATCATTCAATTTCATAGATATTCAAAATTCTTGGTTAGATAACTTTATCTGCATAAGAATAGGATATAGGACACACAAAAAATTCACCCAACAGTTATTTTTTTAAAACCTGATCCGTACAGCTGCCTGGCCAAGTCATCGCTCTTTTAAGGTGACAGCTCTAATTCTAGAGCTAAAAGATTAACCAGGGGCATGTGAATAAGCATGTACATTTGTATTGTATGTAAAGAGCCAAATTTGTATTTGCTTTGCAATTTGCATTAAGCCAGCCTTTGATCTGCAATTGTGAACAAACTGATCTTTTCATTTCAATGACTTGTTTTTATTTCACAGCCTTCTGCTTTACTAACAAATCTCTGTTATAAATAAATGACATGTAGAGTCTTCTTTTTTTCTCATCTTTTATGGTTAGTTTTTCCATTGTGAATGGAAATATAATTCAATTGGCCATTGCTTACAAACAAATCCATTTACTGGTACCACATAACATTTTTTTTCTTCTCTTAATGAATGTCTGCCATTCTAAGAACAAATTTCAGAGGTGTTTAATACAATTTAAATTTGTCTTAGATAATTTTATCTTAGAGTGAAAATTTGTTCAGGCAACTGCCATGCCATCTTTAATGACTAGTAATTGTAAAATTTGGGAAATAGCTAGAACTCACTAGGATTATTTATCAAACTTAATGATACATTTAAATTGTTTAAAGAATTTGCTATATACAACCTTTATATAGGTATATTTCTTACTGAATTAAATTATTCCACTTCATCTTATAATTATTTTAAGGGAACAGATTTTAAAAATCAGTTTCAGAATTTGAATTTGTTTGTGTGGGTATAAATTCTGATAGCTTTAAGAAAGGGAAAATTAGCTGTACATCATTATTCATCAGAACATGCACTAGTATCATATTTTTGTGTGTTTAAATTAGATTCTCTCACATGAAAATTTACGAATAAGTGTGTTCAGTTCCATTGTAATTAATCAGTTTCAATATTCATATTCTGTAAGACTTCCTCATCAGAGTGATTAATTAATTATAGCTGAATAAAATTTCAGTCACTTAACATTTACAAATGAATTTACGTGGACAGCTACATTGCAGATTTTGCTAATATTTAAAACAAAATGAGCTTGTCTATGTTAGACGGAGTCAAAGGTAGACTATTGACTTTAAGTCAAAACAAACTGCTCACTTGAGTGCCAATTCCTATGGTTATTTAAAAGAAAAATCAGCTAAATAAAATGTAAGATAATTTTGTCTCTGATTTCAGTGCCAAAATATCTCCTTACTGTAAAATATGGAGTTATTTATAATTTTATGTAACTCCAACTTATAGATAGAAGAGATTCGTTATTTCCCAGCCTTTAGCTCAAGTATTACTGGCAGGACATAGTTGTGCAATTAAATCATATTTATTCTTTTTCCTGTCTTAAAAAAAATAACTGGAGATTTAGTTAATTGTTCATTTCATGTCAATTAAATTAATATTTTAACTTTTCTACATTTAAATAAATTGTTAATAAAGACTAACATTACTTTTGCTAGGAACATTCTTTGTGTGTGCCATTAAATCTGTTCAGTCATTCATTGATTAATATAACGGTAATGTGCAAATTTAAACAAATTACTGCACACAAAATTATCGCAAATATTTAAAAAAAATTATTGTAAACTGTTTTTTTTTTTAATGTTTATATTTCATTATTTTATTTGTAAAAACAGAGAGAAACTTCAAAGCTATATACTCTAAAATGGTGAAACCAAAAGTTATAAGGGATTTTAAAAAAATAGATTTGCTAACTGACTGGCAATGTGCCTATACAATATCTTTCAGATAAATTCTGAACTAATAGAGACAGAAGAGCAATGCTATGTTATCAGATTTGAGTTGATAAACTTAAAGAAAGATATCCTAATTTTGTTTTGCAGTACCCTTTGTATGCTTGTACTTATAAAAAGCAGACTGCGTTTAATGGACCATTCAAATTTGCATAGAGCTCCCTTTTCCTCTTAAATTTTTTGTTTGTTATAAATTATTTTTTAAAGCCTTTTTAAAAATGTTTTTCTTATTTCTATTTTTCTCATGTTTCTAAAGCAAAATGTCATAATATCTAACAATTCAATCAATGTTCAAGCACAGTTAAGTTAAAACAAACTTATTTTCAGAACTTATGTCCTCCTTGATAGTTTTATGTGTTTCAAAATTTATTTAACCAAAGCACAAAGTGCTGAAAATGAATGACTCTTGTCTTCGGGGAAATTGTAAATCCTTTCTTATTCATAATTTTGTGCCTTAATTGATTTGAAAGTTGTTTCTTACTATTGTTACATATGGGGACTGAAAGGCTAAACAGTAAATTTACTAGCTAACATTATTTACTTCTTCTACAGTTTTTCACTTCGACAGCACTGATAATCTAGGGAGATAAAAAAATATTGATTTCTATAAGGATTGTTAAATTATTCTTATTTTCTTTTAAATTGGTATCAAATTATCATAGACTTGATAACTGCAGCTTATTTTATTTACATGTACCGGTAGTGTTTACATTTTTCTGGATTACACACACCTGGTTTATTTATCAGAATAATATTTTAAAATTTTAACAAAAACATTTCAGTATTCTGCACTTGTCTTGTTCAATTTTACCCCATCCACCCACAAGATTTTAAAATTGTTCTTTTTGACCAAGTCACAGAAGAAAAAAACTGGTTAAATCATGGATTTATATGTAAATATATATATGTCGGTGACAGTACAACTGTGATCTCAATTATCTGTATTATGTCACTATTCAGTCCTCTTCACTTAACAGTAACCTTACAAGTGTTGTCTTCTGTATTTGAAATTTTTATCTTTGCTGTCCAGCTGGTTAAGGTTATGTTCCAGCTTTTAGGATGCCATGGCTCATATTTTATCTGCATTATATACCACTCATTTAAACTGGTATGTTTATTATCTTCTTCAAAAATCATACTACTGTTTAGATCTATGTATGTAGATTTATTTCATGACAAGGAAAAAGGAAATTATAAAATTATTAAATATATTATTTTTTTGTTTTTGCACGCTTAATTTAAACAAGAACATTATTATGGGGCAATCTGTACCAGCTTATTTTCTGTTAACAAAATATTAGGCTTAGGAGTAAAGAATATTTTCTTTTACTTTTAAATTCAGATTAACATACTTTTCTTTGTTTTAGACTCACTATTGTGAACATGTTTCTCACCTCACATTTTGACAAAAGGCACTTTGTTTTGGCGTTTTTTTATTACAATTATGCATAATTATGGGATAAGGGATGATTAAATTCATTACTGTGCCCTTCTATTCTCCTTTTCTGGGATAAGCCTTTTTCTTCTGAAATAGTATGGCTGTGTTGAATAGGTGTACATATTATATTGAAATATATATATATACATATGTATACATGTGTTGTTTTAAAATGCAAAGCCTATTTTTAAAATATATTTTAAATATTTCTAAAATCACAAGTAATAGGGATTTTAATTTTTTTTAAAGAACACTGATGAACTTATTTAAATTCATTCAAGGCTAGTGAGCTTTACATGTTAGAGGGATAGGTTATCTAAAATCAGTTGTTTTTATCAGTAACAGTTAGAAAATGACAGCATTAAGCTTTTTATTGCTTTTTTTCAATGATAAAGCTTTCTAGTGCTAAATTTTACTTAATTATTTGTGTAAAATAATTTTCTATTGGTGGTTTTTCAAAAATGTCACAGTTATGTAAGAATTATCTCATGAAATAGTTCACTTAACTCTTTGACTCCCGGGGGTATATCCGGGTTTCACCAGGCACTCTTTTTAGACACAACAAAACAAAAACAAGATTACTGTTAAACTTCTAAATCCTGAGATTAATATAAGAGATAGACCCTCCCCCAAATGTTTGATATCAATAGAAAAGAAACTGAATGTAATTTACAATAAAATGACTTTGATATAAAAATATCATTGTTGACAACAATAGCACAGACAAAAAAAGTTATAAAAAGAAAAAATATTCACAAAGGTCAAATTATTATGATAGTTTTTTAAAAATTGTCCACCATTTGACAAATTAATTTTATGAAGGCAGTATATTCAGTAAACAATAAATCTTCAAATTTTCTTTCAAAGTTTGATTTTTAAACAAAATTACACACTTTTTATCAAAAAAATTTAGTGGCAGAATAATGAAGAGCAAATTTTCAATAAATACCAGCGAATAATAGTGTCATTTTCCTCAGCTTAACATAAATGGGAGACCTAAAGTGTTGTACATGATTTGAAAGGGAATTAAATGCAGTTCTCATAAAGATTTTTTTTAGAATTGTATGCAGAATTTTAAAAAAAACTTGGTGAAAAGTTTATTTTTAAAAAGTAAAAACGGCGAATATAAATTATTGAAAAGCTCCAAAACATCACCAGTATAATATTAATCACTTTTTCAAAAATCACTCCTTGCCTTGTTAAACTGATAATATTAATTCCAATGAACAATAAAATATTCAAATGTTTTCAAAATTGGTTGAAATGGAAAAAAATTAGCCATATGCCATGGGATTAAAAATCAGAGCAAAATTACAATAAATACAACCTAATCATATTCCCATCACCATAAGTAAAATCATAACCCTTTTACAATCATTCTAAAATAAAAGATCTTGATGCCAGTAAAGCAGGCCTACTCAACTCGAAATGTAAGGCAGGCCAAAATATGAAAAACTTGTGCGTGCCGAAAGAAAATAGGACATGGGACAAAGTCTTCGCAGGCCACAAAGTGGGTGCTAGCGGGCCGTATGTTGTGCAGGCCTGCAGTAAAGGATCAGGATAAAGAATATTAAGATGATAGGCTGTAGTTCAATCATAGACAGTATTACTGGTTTTTAAAGATGTTTATTTATTATGGTCTGTCCTCTATGTAGACCATGTCACTTTAACTTAATCTTTTGATGGTTTATTACCATTGTGCCTCCAAAATCCCCACCTGACTTGGAATCTTATTGCTATGCCATAAATGTTCAATATACTTCCATAGTCATAGTTGGATAATTCCCAGAACTGCTTCAATGAGGGCTCTATTTTTTTCTAGACTCTGTTTGACAACTGATTATATTCAATATTGACTGAAGTCACTTTTGATTCATCATGTTGATGTACTGTGACAGACAAATTTGAGTATTTATTTATTAGCCTGGCGATGGGTGTTTTCCCATGGTTATTTGAATGGCTAAGAATTTTATATTTCTATCTGATTACACACTTAAAATTTCAAAACACAGAATAGTGATTTCTTTAGTCTCAAAGTGTTTCTTTGTACACAGATAATAATATCCATTATGAAATGTTATTTGTCATGAGGATGAGACAATCTATCTTTGAGTTTGTGTTCTGTGATGTAGATTTGGATTTGCATTGAGAATTTGTTGAAACAAAAACATGCTATTCTGTCTACTTCTCGCCACTATTAAGTTAACAGAGGCTTGTCATCAACATACTCTGATAAAGTTAAAGCTCCAGTTATTAATAAAATGGATGACACTAGTAATATCATTACTATAATCAGTAAACAGTTCAAGTTCATAAATTTTTAGAACAAAATGTATTAATAATCCTATTACTCTTGCTGTAAATGTCTTCCACCTTTAGTTTAGGGCAATGCTCCCTTTCATTGTCACTGATAAGACATTTTTTACACCAACTTTCAAGGTGTCGTCGTCAAAATTTTTCTTAGAATTCATAATCATATCCCTGAGATGTAAAGCTATTCTTATTTTGTTTAATCATCTTGCACTATTTGAATTAATTAAAGCTTTACTAGCAGTAATTCTCTAATGGGGCATGTACCTGGCTCAATCATAAAAGATCAGCAAATTGTCGATCCTAAAAATCAATCAAAATAAACTAAATCAGGCTATAAATATGAAACAGCTTACTGAATCACATAGCAAAATGACTCACCATACACAGCAATGTGAAACCAAACCTTTACATTGCTTCTGCTTTTTTTGCATCGAAATGTCAGTGCAGTCGGCTCATGGGAGTCAAAGAGTTAATTACAATAATTTAAAGATAACAGTTGGAATAAGATCTGTAGTATATTTTAAACTACCTTAAATTTTATTGTGAAAAAAATGTATTGAAATTAAATTGAAACTGTAGTTTTTTATTTTTTTTATTTTAAATTTATGTTTTTGTGTTTAGGTTGAATAGTGTTATGAACTAATTTTGTTTACATTATTGTTTCAACATAAATATATTTACATATTTTTTACTAGGGTGTGACAGCATGACATCTTCTATTTTATGATTTCCTTTCTATCTAAAAAAAAGTAATTCTATAAATGAAATTTGTAAAATTATATACATTGAAGTACTTTATATTTGCACAGCTGACTTTCACAGAATATTTACCCTCATCAGATGGCATAATTTTACAACCCTAATTAGTGGCATAGGTATAATTGCACCTTTATATATTTTGTCTGGAAATTCTCAGTGAAGGTATACTTTCTGTATTGTATTTAATGTCTACACTATTTGGGTTAAATTTTGTAAAATAGTTCACTAGAGCATTGATATTTTCCAAACACAGATTATTCAAATGGCACCATATTCTTCTTATTATTACCATCGTTTTTCATCTGCATGGCATGTAGCATACTAACTTAAGGAATGTAGGCTACATGAAGTGACCAGACTTGAATAATGCAATCTGCAAGCTTGTCAAGATATAGTGCAGAATGCATGCCTATAAAGAACATGTTTTTTTTTCCTATTCTAGCGCCTCATCTAGTTTTGTAAACCTCTTCACAGGAAAAAAATTAAAGTCCTTACCTTTTCTTTTTATCACCAATCAGCTGACCCTCGTGACAGGATATCAGAACTTTAATGTAAGAATAGATTTTATGAACTAATGTCATTAATGCAAACTTTCAACATTGGGAGTGTTAGGTTATCTGGAAAAAAAATGTTGTCCTAAACAGCCCAAGTCCAAATTAGTTCAGAAAATTGACACTCGTCTGCAGGTATTCTTAGCATTTGCGAAATATCTTTAAATTCTTGTAAGCTATGTACTTTTTTTTTGTATGGACTCTCTTGAGTTCTTATCCCCTACAAATTTGCATTATCTTAAGGTATTTAGAAATGAAATGGCATGAGTGTTTAAAATAATTGCCAATTTGTATTGATATTTAGTGAAGCACAGGGGAACAATGTTACTAAGAAATAAAAATAAATTTATTTCGGGATGTGGTAATCTTGAGTGAGTTCCCCACACTTTCTCCAGAACTTGACCCTGGTGAAGCGTAAACGTTTGAACTGTCTACAGCAAGAAGTTATTTATTTTTATTTTTGCATTATTTCCATACAAAATACATGAAAGTACTATTGTACATATGCTGTCTCTTATGTGTCCAAAAACAACTCAACACCATATCTTGGTTAAAGGTTTTTTTCTGAAATTTGGCTTTCATAATCTAATTAAAAAAGTGCAGTTTTAAAGATATTTCAGGTCTCCACAACATTTAGAAAAATAAGTTATCAGAATTTAATAATAACGCAGTCCGACAAGGGTAAAGAACAATAGTTAAGAGTAATTTATAAAATATTTACATGGGCCATTTATATCAAAAGGCTTGCCTTTACATCTTACCTGTATTGTACTTGATGTTTTTTCCCTCTTATTTTAAAAAAAAAATATATTTTTTTGCATGTTCATAAGAGGTAAACTAAAGATGAACTAGTTATGTTTTACCATGTCAAAGGTTAAAAATTAATCCTTTAAATGCTGTGGACCATGAATTCTTTTGTGAAGAACAAATGGGCACTGGTAAATGAATGAGTAAATAGACTGAAATTTCTTCAAACACATGAAAAATGTGACAAAACTAAAATGACAGGCTTCGTGTAATCTGCCTTTTTGAT